TTTTTTTTTGGTCTGTTAACTTCCGTAATTCTTCAGCTGAGCTGCTGTACTTGTGTTTGAATTTCAGAAACCCGAGGAAGGTTCCATAAGTCATAGGGTCCAGAGGCTAGCAAAGTACCGGTTTCTCAAGGTATTTCGACGCGTTGAAGTTGTAGATCTGATTTTCCTCTCGTGAAGTTATTATATTAGCTAAAGATCTTTGGCTTCTAGTGTTCGAATTTGTTCGTTTAGTAGCTTTTAGCTTGGTTTAAATTAATCTGCTTGGGCCATTGAAGGTGGAGGTGGGTTTGTTTTTCACTTAGTTCAGGTTGTTCTGTGCAAATTATAATTTGAACATAACTTCAGCTGATAGACTGATTATCCGGAGTTTCTTGAATTTACTTTATAATTTATGCGTTACTGAAAGATGCTTTTCTCTAATCAGAAACAATCTGATCTTTTGCTTAATGCTGATGACCTGGATGCTATGTGGGTGTGCCTGAGGGAAAATTGCGTCATTGATGATGCAACTGGTGCTGAGAAGGTAGGTGATTGTTCATCTGTATTACCCTATTGTCTAAAAGAATTTGATTTGTGTTCTGGAAGATAACGAGTGTAGTCAATGAAAAGTTCATAATATTGTGAACTTAATAAAAATTTAATTCAGGTCTCTAAATAGTTAACCTTCAGTCTGTTTCTGAATTATTCAGTCATTGTGGACCATAACATGCTCCCTAAAAATGTAATGTAAGTAGTACAAAATTTGTGAAGTGCTCTACGACTCTCTTATTTAGTACTGCTACGTATTTGGAATCTCTATCTCTGACTTTTGAATGACTAGTTTATCACATTCTGAAGTTCTAAATTAATGACCTTCAGTTCCTTACTATCTATCATATGTGTATTTCTATGTACTGTTCAATATGAGATGCTGTCAGCTTAGCTTTTAAGAGCTCAAGTTGTTGTAGGAGATGCGTTGGACATAAATGCTGTAAGAAATCATAAACACTTGGATAAAAAAACATAAAAAGAAATGATAATAAAAAGAATAAATAACTGACAGATATATTAATAAAACAATAAACAATAAATTTTTGAAATTAGAACAAACAAAAATATGCTACCCTGAGACAATTCTCATTTATTATCATTTAGATGAAATCTGCGTGACTTTCATTAAATGGAACCTTACATATTTAGGTACCATCATACTTGCTACAATATGTTGTTTCATGTTTCTATATGCTGATGCTTGTTTATAAGTGGTGGAGTGAAATTTATACTGAGATGTGCCTCATTTATAATTTTGTTTAGATGAACTATGAGGACTTCTGCCACATTGCTTCTGTATGTACTGAACAAATAGGCCTCAAATGTCGCCGCTTTTTCAGTCCTTCAAATTTCATGAAGTTTGAGAAGGATGAATCTGGAAGAATTTCTATCCTACCTTTCTATCTTTATGTGATGCGCACGGTAAAGCCACTGTTCCCTCGACTATTGCTTAAAATTAGTCATTATCATCTCTCTTAATTTTGTACTTTTTGAGAACTACATATCTCTAAGTGGTTCTATTCTTTATTAATTACAATTCATTATGCTTTAGGTTTCACTCACTCAAGCAAGAATTGATATGAGTGAGCTTGATGAGGATTCTGATGGCTTCCTTCAGCCTCATGTAAGTCTACCTTACTTCTGACGCTATTATCCTGGAATATGGGTTGTCACATTTTGTGGAGGGCTTCTTGACAGTGACCTCAAATGTACTAATTTCCTTTTCCCCTTGTTTCTGAAATAGGAAATGGAATCATATATCAGAGGTCTTATTCCCAATTTGGCACAACTGCGGGACATGCCTGCTGGTTTTGTGCAAATGTATTGTCGCATAGCAGCACACAAATTCTTTTTCTTCTGTGATCCACATAAAAGAGGTTGATATGTATTTCTATAGTTAGGTTGCAGCTGAAGTATTACCATTTGTTTTATTATTGATCATATAACTTGTTAATAACAGGGAAGGCATGCATAAAGAAAGTGTTGCTCAGTAATTGTCTTCAGGAGCTAATGGAACTGCACCAGGTAATATATGGTACCATATATCTGATGATCGCTCATCGCCTGCAAATTGAAATACAACAGTTAAGCAATAATGAGTTTGTAACTCTCAAATATGGGACCAAGTTTGAATGGTAGTTACTAGTTAAGCCTAAATTCTTTGATATCACATTGTAATGTGCTAGTCAATTTCATGTTGAAATCATTTCCCTCACTCCTAAATGTTAATTTTTCGATTCTTTAACTTTTGCGTCTTCAGGCATTTGGGACATCGTTGGTTTTGAATGCTTTTGTTTTTATCCGTTTACGTTTTGTGATATTATTTAGATCTATTTTTTATTTCAACTAGGAAAGTGAGGAAGAGGCTACCGACACTGAACAAGCTGAAAACTGGTTCTCACTGACATCTGCTCAACGCATATGTGGTTAGTGCTTTCTCTGAGGTTTTTTTTATTTATGCTCCTGTTTTACATATTGTTATTGGCAAAACCAATTTTAACGTTTGGAAATTGTGTTTCTGGTACTGAGACAATTGTTTATGATTTTGGATTTATTTTTCCCTAACTTCTGGATCTTCATTTTGGCTTCATTAGCTAATAATTACTAATCTATATTTGCAGATATGTTTCTTGCTCTTGATAAAGATATGAATGGAACACTTAGCAAACAGGAGCTTCGAGATTATGCAGATGGCACATTGACAGATATCTTTATTGAAAGAGGTAAAAAATGACTGGCCATCCTACCCTCTGGTAGTCATCCTAATTAAGAATGTCCCACCAGTATCAGGGGCAGGTTTTCTAATTAATGCTTTTAAGCATACTTGACTATGGAAATTTTTTTGTGCATTATTGATCTCAAATAATAGTTGGGTTGGAGGTATCACACCGTTACTTTTGCAAACAAGATTTAGTTTTTCAGAAAGAGAAACTCTAGGGTATTTATTCTTATTTGTGATATCTCTAAAAGTAGGAAGACATGCTATATTATTTGAACTAAATCCACATATTAACTCTGAAACTTTTGTAACTTGGTTGGTTGTAATAACATGTGAGATTCTTTACAAACATATAATCGGACGTCGTTATTTCTGTGGATGGATAACCCTCTTTTATAGACTTCGATTGGGAGAGAATTTATTGTCAATTGTGCTGTGTTTTCTCAATGTTCTATTCCTTCGTTTGACAGAGAAATGTAATTTATTGACTTGTAATGCAGTATTCGATGAGCACGTGCGGCGTGGAAAAAGTGGTGGTGGTAATGCTCGGGAGATGGACTTTGAGAGTTTTCTCGACTTTGTTTTAGCTCTAGAGAATAAAGACACTCCAGAAGGGTTAACTTATCTGTTTAGGTGCCTCGATCTTAATGGAAGGGGATTCCTGACAACTGCTGATATCCACACACTATTCAGGTCTGTGGGTCAAAATTACTTCATTTTCTTACATGAAAGTGTTCGATATTTCGTTTCCTTTTATCTATTATACTTGAATTCATTGTTTTAAGCAAAAAAATCGATGTGGAAGTAAAGAAGGGTGGCTTCATTGTCTTTGAATGCTTCCTGATACAATCTTCCAACAAAAAGATGCTGCAAATTCCTGCTTGTGGTTCTTGAGCAAGACACGCACAAGTCTCATTTTGCCAGTGACATGCAATTCTCATTTTTCATTTAACTCTTAAAACGCATGAGAAAATGAGAATATGTTATCAAGTTCCAATTTTGAATACGTTGAGATCTGCACGAATCTCTTGTAGAAGCTGAAAAAATCGAATGTCTTTTCACATCATGATACAGGGATGTTCACCAGAAATGGATCGAAGGTGGCAATTATGAACTATGTATCGAGGATGTAAGGGACGAGATCTGGGACATGGTGAAACCGGCCGACCCATTGACGATAACACTTGCCGATCTACTTGCTTGCAAGCAAGGTGGAACAGTGGCAAGCATGCTTATTGATGTGCGCGGTTTTTGGGCTCACGATAACAGAGAAAATCTTCTACAGGAGGAGGAAGAGCCGGAAGAGGAACAATGAACCTAACTCTTGGGGAATGGATATGAATTATGTTCTGCTGTCCTGAAAAAGTTAAGGACTCAATTTTTTTTTTCTCTTTAGGAGATTATCTTCGTTGTGGACAGGACAGTTTGTTGTTATCTGACTTTTGGATGTGTAAAATAAGAATTTGAGAACTATTGATGTATAGGATGATGTATTAATGTAGGGATTTGTGTTGATATGAAATAGTTAACATTGCCTACCAATTATATGGATATAATTCGGTTATTGAAAATTGAAAAATTGATTTTACTGCCATCTTGTGGATATTTTTTCTTTTTTTTCTTTTTTTTTTACTGCCATCTTGTGAAAAATTGACTCACGGCGGAAAGAGTCACCGTTGGATAATTTGACACACTCATAAATCAAATCTCGAAATACAACAATGGATGGAACGTTTCTTCTGTTTCATATACGGGTTGAGTGGAGCTCATTAGATCGGTCCTCCAATGGGTGGAATGCTTTTGGATGTCTATCTTCCCTCTTCCGTCGACTGTCCGTTCGCTTATCATCCAACGATGCCGTCACTTCCTTTGGGGCTCAAAGATGGCACTGGTGGCTTGGAACACCGTCACTCTTCCACGTTCGGAGGGAGGCTTAGGCCTTCGGGACCTCAAAGCATGGAACCAAACCTTGCTAGCACGAACACTATGGAATCTTCAAGTCAAGAAAGACACCTTGTGGTACCGTTGGGTGCATCACGTTTAAAGCAAAAATCAATATGGCAATGGACCATCCACAAGAGCGACTCGCCACTTTTCAAAAACCTCTCTGACATCTGGAACCTAATTGTTGGAAAGTTGTGTAGCACGCAAGCCCGCCGAGGCCGCCCTTAGCCTTTGGGAATCCAAATCTCACTCCAAGGGGCCCTCATGCATATACGAATTCTTCCGACCCCAAGGCAACCCCGTTCCTTGGAAGGATGTGGTATGGGGGCCCGCCAATACCCCCAATCACGCCTTCATTATTTGTCTTGCAACGCTTGGGAGGCTCCGGACCAAAGATAGACTCGACTTTTTTGATATAGACCTTACTTGTGCCTTTTGTGGGAAGCTTCCGAGTCAAAGGATCATCTCTTTTTCGCTTGCCCCCTTTCGGCTCAAGTTTGGCTAGGCATCCGGCAATGACTAGGATTGAGGAGACAACTCTCTACACTAAAGAGTGCATTGAAGTGGATTAAGAAAGAAATCCAAGGTTCTGGTTGGAGAACAAAAGCAATAAAAGCGGGGCTCGCATCCACGGTGTACTTCCTTTGGAATGCTCGGATAGAAAGATTTTCGAGAATGAGGTACAACCTCTGGAGCTCATTATCCAAAATCGCTTTGTACCCGAATGTCCTTGCCGACATGAAGAGAAAAGCCCTCGGAAATGGCTCCCGCGTCCCACGACGTTTCTGATTTTCGGTTCCACTTTACTTTGAGTTGAGCAACCGAGTTGTGGTTTACCGCTCATCATTTTGATTAGCGAGTGAGGGATCGGATTGTGGTTACCCACTTTGCTCTTGTGTGCCGCGAGATGGTCGATGAAAATCAGTTTTGATCTATGAAATTTATTTACCAATAACATTTTTTTTTTTTAATTAGAAATTATGGTTGTTCAATGATTAGTTAGACTAACTGCACTAATTGTGTTAGGACTTAGGACAATTGTTCCTCTCTATCAGTTAAAGTACTAAAACAAAATGCATTTAGGACAAAATATTGGTATCAAGTAAAAATTCATTGTATTCATCAGCTTTGATTAAATGGAAATTCCATCCAGATAATTACTGTTTATATGTAATGATGCATTAAAAATGAAGCAAGGAGTTTGTGGTGTTGTGAATTGTGATGCAGCATGATTAAGGCAAATCAATTGTCCACTTGAAAGGCTAAAAGCCACCCAGCACGAGCATAGGTCTGGGCCGGTTGAAGGTCCATGAAACCCAACCCAGAGGCCCTGCGGGCCGGGGGTTTGGCCGTGTCTATGCCACATCAATTAAACCACCCAACTAATGATTTGGAAAGTTCAACTAGCAAGACCAGCGTTTGACTTATGAAGTCATCGACAATTATTTCTCCTTAAAATTATTGCAAAATTTACTTTCGGCCTTGTTTGTTTAATGGTTTTTTGCCAAATTTCAGCGTTTTGGACTTTAGCGTATTTGACTTTTTCTTAGCCAATTAAAAAGTGATGTTTGGTAACTAGCTTTATCAATCAGCTTTTTTTATCAAATCCGCTAAAAATGAAAAAGCTGGCTAGAGGAGCGTTTTGCATTGGCTTTTAGGAGGGAAAAATTAAAAGTCACAACTACCCCTTTTGTGTTTAGTCTAAATATTATGTACAATTTGTTGTTGCTCTAATTGCCTCCACTTTTGTACTTGTATATAATTCCGTGTGAATTATCCATAAACTATCACCGACTTAAATGTCTAGTTTGGGGTCTTACATTCCCCAATCGTGTGTTATGTCATAATCCACATCTAATGATTGACTTAGGTAATAATATTGTAAAATCATATTTTTGATTAATTTTTATTTTACGTTTCTTGTTTTATTTTTGTATATATACATTTACTAGTTTTACCCTGTACATTTACACGAAAAGCGATATAATAGAAGATAAAGTAAATAAAAATATAGACTAAAATAAAAATTATAACTTAATAAATGAAAAAAGAAATAATTTAAAAAAGTAAATCTAAATATTATTAAACACTTAGTTTTATACAACATTCGTGATTTTCATATCGTCAGAATTCTTATCACACCAAATCACTATCTTTAAACCCCTTCAACTCGTAAATCTCGAATTTGAGTTTTTAAATATCTTTGTAATATCCAATTTTTTTATTATTATTGTATGACTGTAATAGAAAATATAGATATCTGTAGTTATTCTTAATTAGTTGTAAAATATGACATGAACTTATTCACTAGATTGATAAATATTATCATTTTATTATTATTCTATTTTTTATTATATTTAAATCATTTTAACAAATATTTAAAATATTAATTATTTCTATTTCCTAAATAATTATAAGTTGAAAATAATAATAAAGTATGTTGATGTCCTTATAAGTAATTTTACCTGCTAACAGCTAACTAAAATAGCTAATTTACCAAACATCTTTTCACAAACCGCTAACACAATCAACTGGTAACAGCCGAAGCAATCCGCTAGTCAAAACAACTAATCCAATCCACTAATAGCTAACAACAGATGTGTATTTACCTAATATTGCTTCGGCCAACTATATTTTCTGGCCGCTTCATCCCTAAATTGCTTCGGCCAACTATATTTTCTGGCTTCATCCCTGCATCAAGTCGAACAGAGTGGAACAAAAAATTTGAAATAAACAACCCGAATGCATACAATAAATCACGCGAAACCAAAGGAAATAATCGAAACACATTTCTTATTCACCAACACTATAATTCTCTACAAGGCTTTTCGCACCGCCCTTCTCAATGGCAAATGAGTATAAGATTAAGACTTACCCTTCAAAGTGCTGTGTACTGAAGTGAGATTCTACTTTTCATATTGCAGTCATAATATCTGGCAACCTCATCACAAATGCCTAACCTCAAAATTTTTTTAACCTATAATTGAATTACAAAATGAGGCTACTTTTAAAACAGCAACTCGAATCGAGTGATGCATTTATTTTTCGGTTAGTTCTGTAACGGCTGGAGTTCTTGCTCGGCTACAACAGAATCAACATGTTTGTATGCCAGTACTGATTTATTCCTCTTCCAAATGATCCATGCTCCAGATGCCAATAATCCAGTTACAATCAAAATAATCAATGCCCAAATTACAGCCAAATAATGTTTTCGCCACCAACTCCTGCACATTTTGAAAAAGA